CTACTCACATACTAATATGGGGATGCCTGGGTTCAAATATAATTCCTTCACTACCGTCTTTATTCAGTATCCACTGATAGTTTCGAAGTCTATCAATAGTGGGCTTGTTCGCCCACTTTTAGGTCCATATATGTAAATGCTCCTTTGATTTTTTTATGTATGTGTCGGCATATATGTTTTCTTACAAGTACTAAGCATTTATGTCACTATGATTTAGCGAATTCTATTTGGTTCTCTCTCAGTGAAATACGGGTTGAGAGTAGGAATGTGCATATACATAAGTTTAATAAGACCAGTCGATTGGCTGTTTTTCTGACTAATCATTGCTTAAACTTCTCTCTTCTTTTCATAAAATGTATGTATTTCTGAATACACGAATTTCAGTAGTCTCCAGTATTTGGCGACCAGAAGCAGACTTTCCGTAATCCGAAAACCAATGAGTTTTCAAACATTCCATCTCATGCTACGTGTTGAGACACTATTGGCCCCTGACCACTGACTGCTGTCTCCTGATCTCTGAACACATCAGCCTAAACGAGTATTCGTGCCTTCCGCTATTCTTTAAAAAATCGGTTAATAAACCTTGACAACACGAGGGACAATCGTATGAACATATTATTTTGTGCCCCGACTTCTTTGAAAGTCTTGTCCGAATTGAAAAGAATGTCATGGTTGCTTTTAAAAATGTTTTCACTATCCCACTTCATCACAAGTAGGCATAACTTTGCAGACAAAAGCTATGAAAGCAAAGGTTTTTTTTTCTTGACGGATTAGGTTATTGAGACTCTCAGTAAATCATATATATGAATTGTGAAAGAGATGAAGGACTGTAGCTAAATTTTCCCACAATCTCAGGCATTTTCCATATCACATTCTTGAAAATCTATTCACTCGCGAAAAAAATGCAATTTCGTCGGTTGCTATAGCAAATATAAGTTTGCTGCATCGACAATCCCAACACAGAGTGTGATGTGGAAAATGTCTAACACTTCTTGAAATTCACATCTGCCCAGTGGCAATGTGGCGTATTGGTTAACGTGTCGAGATTACACGCTACATTGTCACGGTTCGAGTCCACTGGGAGTGTGTCGATAAAACGTATGCGAGGTGGAAACTGCAGTCCAGTTCAGCCGAGATGAGAACACCTTTTGTGAAAGCAAGGCTATGCAAAAGGGAATGGAAAACATCAGCTTGACTCATAGCATTGCGGGATAATTCAATTACGAGTCCTTCATCACCTTGAACAGGAGATTTTAGTCGCTATCCTTAATCAGGCCAAGGCGACAAGAATGATAATCCTTTTCTTGTAACTATGATTGGAGAAGCAATTTAAACTAAATCAAGGAGGCCTTCCGACACACAACCACGTACTTTTTATTTTTTTTAACCGTGGTACAAAATGGTAAAATAGCCTCAGATATTATCAACCGAATAAGTTGGGTTTGATGTAATTTTCTTCATTAAACCTCCCTTAAATCGTGTCATGTAGCAAAAAGATTTCACGTTTTATCTATATGTATCTGTACCGTTCTATCATAAAGTGATGCTATAAGGTATAGGTTTGTATCGTCATAATAATGAGGGTTTCTTTAGGCTTAACCTCTCCATGATCTGATTTATCCTTAGATTGAATAATATAACAATAATAGTTGCCTAAACTGGGATTTTGGGATATATTTATACGAAATATTATTGCTTCTTCCGAAATAATTTGCTGATCTACAATTTTTTGAATATTCAATTGTTCTAACTGGCCATATTAAATATTTCTTCAATTTTTAATGCATCTTGTGCATATCATAATAATTGAATTTAGAATGTCTTGTACGTATGGGTGAGTAAGTTAAGCGTATACGTTTTTTTATAGAAATATTCAAATTAGTCATAACGTATAAGAAGTTTAAACATTTACTCTCTTCAAATTATTTTTCCTCTTCCATTGTGTTTTCATGCTGGTTGCATTAAGTCGAGAAATTGTCGAATCTCGTTCTTTCATGCTCCCCAAGCAAGCTTCATTTTTAAAGGATTCTCAGCCTATCCGTGAAAAGCACTTACTTCACATTCGGCGGAAGTCATTACGAAATAAAGCAAGGACAGGCGACGCCAACATTTTCCTCTCACATTTTGACAAATAATTACATGGCAACACTTTAGAAACTCATAATGGAAACCAAATTGAAATTCTCAAAAGTAAATAGCTTGATGTATAAATGCATAATCGGCTCTTTACAGGCTTGAAAGGAATAGGTTTGATAATTGCTTATTCTTTGGTAGCCAATGCGAATGTGATACTAAGTAGATCATGATTTTTAGTAAATTTTATGCTTTATTTTTTTAAAGATATTTTAGTTATAACAGAATCTACTGAATTATCTCTATTCATAACATTGTGGGACAATCCAACTACCAGCCCTTCATCAATTTAAACGAAATATGGTGAACATATCTTTACAATTTCTAGTCGGAACAGTCAGTGTTGGGCAGATATGGTTGCCCAGAAATTTTCTGGTTACTACCGGAGCGCTGTTTGTTCCACATAAGCAGCTTGTCCTGCCTCGGGCCTATGGTTATTCGGGTCAATTTTTGCTTCCCAACGCTGCACCCCCTTGCATGTACACACAAGAGTCTCTAGAGGCTTGATTCTGTGATGGCAAGAAACTCACATTTTTGCTGTATTTGATTTTTTGCGGCATCCCGATTCGTTTTATCCAGTAGTCAGGAATAAGTAGTATGACGAAATTAGCGAAAGTTTTTATTAAGTACACTACAATAATTGAGAGTGGTACCTATTGTCTGTTTCAGATTTGAATAGATTACGACTTCACCAATGCTTCAGTTCATTCAATTGTCTCGTTGTTTTCGTGTGCTGTAACCGAATGGGTGATTGAATGGAAATTACTGATAAATAACCATCTATGCTTTTATAATTTGCTTTTCCAATTTTGTGAGGGATAATGGAGAAAACGAATTATATTGGTTTTAACATTTCGGCTAATTATTGTATTAAGTAAACCTTTCTAAAGGCATTTCCAAGTTGCTTTCCGACGCTGCATCCGCTTGCATGTACACCCAAAAGCCTCTGGAGGCTTGATTCTGTGATGGCAAGAAAGTCCCATTTTTGCTGTATTTGTTCTTTGCGGCATCCCGATTCGTTTTATCCGACAATCAGGGATAAGTAGTAGGACGAAATTTGCGAAAGCTTTTATTAATTACTGCAATAATTGAGAGTGGTAACCTATTGTCTATTTCAGGTTTGGATAGATGACGACTTCACCGAAGCTGTGCATCAAGTTTCCGTCATCTCTCTCGACTATCACAAATGACGATGAAGCGAGCGTTCTTCTGCAGTGCGGCTTCAGTTCATTCAATTGGCTCCTTGTTTTCGTGTGCTGTAACCAAATGGGTGATTGAATGGAAATTACTGATAAATAACCATCTATGCTTTTATAATTTGCTTTTCCAATTGTATGGGGGATGATGGAGAAAGCGAATTATAGTGGTCTTAACATTTCGGCTAATTATTGTATTAAGTAAACCTTTCTAAAGGCATTTCCAAGTCATGTACTGGTCTGGGATTGGCAACAACTGGTGAAAAATAGAGAATTGTTTGAAGCCAAAGCAAATTAGGGAATAAATAAACCAACATGGGCAGAATAACCGCTCGGCGTGGGATGAAAAGAAAATTTATGACAATTCATTTGTTGACGCGATAAAATGAAGCTAATTAGGCCTCGGTGCAGATAATTGATGCAGCCAGCCACGCTTTTCGTTTAGCGCCTCTATTTCTGTCATGCTAAACGTACAAAAAAGAATGTATTTGGTTTTTCGTCGCCATGGCGACTACAGAGGACTTGGCGACTTTAAAGGTGGATATAAATTTCGTCAGTGACAATTAACAAGTTGTTCAGTTTGGAAATAATGTAGACAGCCAGCGGGCAGATTCAGTTGCCCTTCCGATGCATTGTCAATTTGGCTTAGAATAATGGAGAATGGGCGATTGTGCATGTCAGTCCAATTTCCCAATTTGCATCGGGAAGGCTAAGCCATAAGCAGGTCAGCCATGCACTCAATCATCGAGAAGGCGGCCATCCCAGCACCTCAAAGCCCAATTGCCAGGTCGTGGCAACAGATTGTATGTACAGAACGGGACCGAATGAAAAGCGGCAGTTGGCAATTGAATCGCACTGGGGACGACTCATTAGGAACTGAGAGTGGTCATTGTATATGATTTCTTTTTTTGCATATGCAACATGTGGGCCATCCCCGCCCGGGATAGCCTCAGAGTCCACAGTTGATATGCATAAAACGAGCGGTGGGCATTGTTCCCTGTTTCCGTGAGACGAATTCACGAGTCCGCTATTCGGCGACATGAAAGAAACAGGATTTAGGCGTTTTCGCGCGCCATCTTTCAACGTCCATCAACTATTGTGAAAGCGAAGAGGTTCCATTTGTTTGTTCAAATTGCAAATAAGTAGTGTAGTAGATTCCCATAGTAAATATAACGTTGTCTAATCGAAAATCCCAACACAGAATGTGATATGCCGAAAGGCCTGGCCTTCATTCAAATTCACATTTGCCCCTTGAACCACGTGTTGAGAGTATGAATTGCACTGTCGTGATTCGAGTCCCGCTGGGGGTGGTGATGAGACCAGTTCAGGCGAGGTACAGATTGCAATCCACTTCAGCCTGTATGAGAATACCCTTTGCTAAATGGAAACGTGAGGTTCACTCAAATGATTGTGACTCCTGTATCACCGTAAACGGGATTGGGCGAACACATGTCGTGAATTGCCAGACTGCAACTGATCTCCATCTCGTCCGATAAGATGAGCCCCCACGACGCAGCATTCCGAAATAGGCCTTAATGAAGACAATGATTTCGTGTTTTGGTGGAGAATAAGATGACTAGAAAGCCATCATCTTGTAGAGAAGATGAACTTGACGTTCACTTATTCACCGTGGGTTGCCCAAATCGGCAGAAGTTCGTTTATTGAGGATCGGATGTAGGCCAAATCTCGTTCCAAAATATCGTCTCTATTTACAATTAAGGGATTTCGACTATGACCCTTGGAAAATCATCACTTACAAAAGAACAGAGTAGTACGTCTGAATGGAGTTCGTCCAATGATACAGCAGAGAATATTATGAGCTTTGTAGAAATGAAACAAATGGATATTATAATAATGCATAAAGAGTAGAATAATCTCGCCATGTAATGCCTTGTTTATGTAAATTTTAAGATTCTCCCTTCAGATCAGGCTTTTACAAGAACCCTTTTTGCAAGGCAAGACCATGATAAAACTCGCGTGGCATCATGAAACCGTCTCATTTGTTAGTGGTTATTTGAGTCACTTTAAGCGGCCTAAGCTGGCAAAAATTGGTATCACGTTTGTTGCCCTCGAGTGCCCTTGCGGTGTGTGGATGAGACTTCCTAACAGATGACTGACGACGATTGGGCTCTCAGTACCTTACGACCTTGTGCAAATTGACAAACTGAAAATACTTTCCATCTCCTACGAGACGACGTTTTTCACGAAACATTCTCACATATCAACCGGGTGGGGTGGCAGATATGTGGGAGACCTGTTTGGTAGATCCAAAAATATCATTATTCGCTGACACAAAAACAGTTAAGAGTTTAATGTTCGTGATTATTAATAATTTTTGAATAAGATATTAGTTAAACT